CTGAGCTCAGACTACACACACACACACACACACACACACACACACACAAGCCCCCCCTCAATATGCTCCGAACAAGCCTTGCAGAAACAATGGCATGTTAGACACATGAATAATCCACATGTGCTCAGTCGCAACTGCAAATTAGGGCCAGTCAACTCAAGTCAAATGTTTTCTGAGCCGACGTCCCAAAAACAAACAAAGGACAGGCAAGAGATGTGGGAAACGATGGATGTTGAGGCGAGAAAGGGGGGAAGAGAGAAGAATGCTTTTGGAAGAGATTCTCTGCTTACAGGATGTTATCTTGGCTGGAATTGGAAGGAGGAGCATGAAGGAACGCATTTTAGGGAGTACATACTGTATGAGCATTTGTCTTTTTTTTTTTTTGGGAGAGGGAGAAAGTAGGCCAAGATAAGCTGCGGGCTCATACGCATGCAGAGCAACACCCACACGTCACCCTCTCTCTCTCCCGATCAGTCTTCCCCTGCTTTGCCTCCCTCCATTCTTTCTTTTGCTCACATTTTCAGCATCCGCCTCATCCTTGCGCCCATAAGCAACCCCGCCCTCCCGCTTGATCGACTCCTTCCTCATCACTCCGCATTGCCCGCCCGCACCTCTACACTACATGGAGGCATCATTGAAGTTGACTAGTTCTGGTTTGAATTGTAACTAAGTGCAGATATATGATTACCTATTTATTATTCATTTAACCGAGAAGAAAATGCAGTTTTGATGTTAAAATATGCCTGTTAGATGCCGACATGGATTTGCTCAGTCTTCACGTCACAGTTGAAAATGTGAGTCAGTGTTTACTCGCACGATGATGTACTTGTCGCCTTTAAGGCGATGTAGCCGTACGAATTCATGTTGGTTCAAACAATCCTTTTAATGTTTACACTTGGTGTCGGATGACCCCCGGTGGAACATGTGAATCGGCTCTGATGCCACGAAGCACTTCCTTTCACATGCTTAGCCAGAGTGTCAATGATGATCACGTTTTCCACCTCCTTCATTTTGGACCAACTCTCATTTTCCAGATTTTAAATGAAGGCGTCATGCTTTTAATTAGCGAGACATTCCCTTCATTCTCCGCTGCCCGCTGTGTTCCGCTCTCTCTTTCTATCGGATCATATTTGAGAGCTCAGCTGACATTAGCTTGTTGGGGGGGAAAGCAGGCGCCACCTCTCTCCCTCTCCCCCCTGATCAACCCTCGCTTTGGCATACTCGATGCGCTCACGTGGCGTTATGACTCAGAAATATGTGCAAGTTCACCAATGAATTATTCCACTGCTATGAATGGAACATGGGAGTCTAAAATGTGTTTCATTTCACACATCTACAAGTGAACCGTTCAAGTTAAATGGTCCTGAAGTTAAGTCATGTACTTATTGAAAAATAAAAAGGGGACGCCTTTGAATATAAATTGGTGGAACAACGTGCCTCTAACCTCACGCCTCAGTTCAGTCAGCATGAAAAGTATTAGCTTTTGGTGCGTTTTTTATTTGTTTGCTGCTCCACTTGTTTCAAAAGAATTCCATTGAACTGTGCCTTTAGTCACACAGTGCGTTTGTTGTCAGGGAGCTCGATGTGGAGGCCATGAGGGAGGCAGCAGCCATGTTGGTCGGAACTCACGACTTCAGCAGCTTCAGGGCAGTTAACTCCGACATGCCTTTTAGAAACCCAGTGAAGACGCTTGATGTCGCCAGCATACAGCCAGGAAGAGCGTTTGTATGTGAGCACTTCCACAGGTAAACAGGATTGAAAGATTTTTTTTTTTTTTAACTATGAAAAGGCAACATAATATGATAAAAGAATAAAAGGCCTGCCCACCCAAGGGGGAAATTATACAACCTAATTAAAGAAGCACTGAAGATATTTATTTGCCTTTACAACTTGGCGGACAAGGCATTTGCAAATGGAATCATTTTAGATGTTTCCATGTGTGTCTTGCAGAGAAATTCCATTCTGGGAGTTGACTTTTCAAAGCAAATCTTTTCTCTACAAGCAGGTATGTTCTATAATGTTCTGCTGCTGGTTTGGCTTCCAAAGAGGTAGAAAGCAGAAAGGCGTGCCGCATTATTTCTTTTTGATTGTGTGCAAAGATCCCTAATCAAGCCACGTTGTTGTTGTTGTTTCAGGTGCGAAGAATGACGGGAGCCCTCGTGGCCGTGGGCCAGGGAAGGATCTCACTTACCAAGCTGAAAGACATCCTGGAGTCTCGAGACTCTCTCGCTTATCCACACAATGTCGTTGCTCCAGCCCGCGGCCTCTTCCTCACCAGGGTGGATTACAGAGAGTCAGGTAAGTGAGGATGGAACAAACAAAACAGTTGAGTCGTTGTGTCACATGTTTTATTTCACTATAATTTCAATGTTTTTTTTTTTCATATAAATCAGGTAGAATTTAATTAATCCTTTATGGGCTTAAACCGTTGGCCAAACAAAAGAATTGTACAGGCAACGTACCCTTTGATGACTTTAAAGAGAGGAAGTCTTGCTGAAGGCAGCTCTGCCTTCATCTCATCGCTTTACAGCATCTGCACCTGTTAGAAGTGTGAAAAGAAGTTAGCTGCACAATAAAACTAAGAAACAAGGGATGGTCTGTACTCACCAGTAACCTTGGCTTGTGCTGTGGCAACCGTGAAGAATAATGTTAGCCTTATCGCCAAAAATAGCTGTGATTTTGTGGAGTCTTGTAACATTTGTTACATTCATTTGTTCCTCAAATTGGTGAAATAAAATGGATATATTTGGAATTATTTTATCCTATTTTAATTGATTGCAAATGAAAAAAATATTAGTCAAATAAACAGACAGATTGCACCTTCTACATTGCAGGAATAACTGCCCAATGAAATACATTTTAAAAAATGAGTTATTAAAATAAACATGGTTCCCTAAAACCAATGTGTCCTTGAGCCCAAATGTTTGCCCGTGCCTGCTCTAGTTGAACCAAGATTTTTGGCAACAACTGTAAACTATCTTGTAGTTATGCTTATCATGACTGCACCATTGTTGCACTTTTTGACCGTATCAGATTGTGAAGATGCACCTTAGCGCCATCTTTTATGTGATGTCGTGTTGACGTTGCTTCTGTTAATTACTAAGCAAGCTCTATTTTGCGTCTTCCATCAGATCTGCTGCCGTCACCGCCAACCTCAACTGGAGACTCGAGTGATGCACAAACTCAAATGTGAACGTCCGTGTATTAAAAATGTTTTATTTAACCCTTTCTAGTTAATACTGGGTCTTTCAAATGACACATTGGACACTGCAAACAGAGGACCACCTACACATTTTTATTCCAACAAATACATAACGGTGTCCGCGAACGCAGCTCAGCTTATCGACCAAACACCAACCCACATTGAGCCTACCTTGTTCTAAGCACGTTACTTTTTACGACTACTTACTGTGTGTACATTAACACAGAGTAGCTTTTTATATCAAACAAGGTTTACAACATGTGGAGTGTAACTGCTGTGTGTGCGTCGAAATAGTGGTAGACCACATAGAAAGTGCACACACGTCCACTATGTATACTGTGCATCCAAATGAAGCCGCATACGCTTTTGTTCGCACAGATGATCCATGTGGATATTTATCACTCAGTTGCAAGCCTTGAATTTGGCTGCACCAAATATATTTTCTGCAAATAGTCCATGACTAAAAGTGTACCACCGCCACCGGTCTTGTCGTGCCAGTGGGGACCAAATGAGGTTTGTTCAAGGTTCAAACTGACCATTCTCTGTGGTTTAATGCCCCAGAGGACTGATCTCAAAAGTTAAAACAGTCACCAAAGGACACACAGCCAATCTTTTTTTTTCCTCTCTCTCAAATGTCGCGACAGTCAAAGTTGAACCTCATGAGGAATGTTTTTTTTTTGCACTTCTCAGAAGTGACATTATCAATAAATCAGTCACACAATTTGTTCCAAAGAGTTTTAAATGTGTACACCCGTCGTCGTATCATGCGACCGTGTTGTAACACAGTAAATCTGATTGGCATAGGTCCTCAAGTCAATTCAGCATTTGGTTTAAGAGTTCAATAGATAAAAATTTCAAGTGTCGTTCAGCATGTTAAGTCCAATATTTTGCATTCTCAATAAAACCATATGTATACATAATGCACTTGAGGAAGGCTTTTGTGTATTTAACTCACGCACAATCATTGAAAACTTTGCAGTTTGTGTGAAGAATAATGAAATGGAGCACAAGTCCAACCATGATTGAGGCGATTGCGAGACAAAATGACATCGGACCTGAACAGTCGAAATCTGGAGAGAAACTTGAGCATCATGTGACAAACGTTTAAAAACAATGACATGTTACAGCTGAGCAGCCTTAATACTCAAAATAAAATTGTGTGAGATGCTCAACTGGGCAGAACCCAGAATAATCTAAAATGTTCATATGTTGAGGACTTAATAGTGTGCCATCTCCATTGGCAGCCGTTTTGGCATTTGGCTCCACACCCTGAAACTAAAGTTGAGGTTCATATGGGATTCATTTCTGTTATGTGAACACAGGTATTCACTAAATTTGCATAGACCCTTAAATCCATCCATCACAGTCATCATCCGAAACGGCGCACTAGCATTCAACAGCAGCACCATACCCAACTTCACCCTTTTTACAGACTGTCAGTGCTGTAATGACCTAAAGAGGATACATTCATCGAACCTGTTCATATATATATATGTATATATATATGAATGAACAGCAGAATCAAATCGGGTTTTCAGAGTCTATCGGTAGTATCATGTGTACAAGGCGAGTTGCTTTTTTTTCAGCATTACAAACTCAAACTTTATTTCATGAAGTAAAAAGAGTAAAATGGGGTATGTTCCACAGACTGAAGTTCATTACGTGTGTGTAAACGTGCAGTGTATGTGGTTTTGCTCTTTTTTTCCCACCCCCAACGGCTTAAAACAAAATACAAACTTAAAAAAGACAGCGTCAAGAAGCGTACAGTCCTTGCAGAGCACAGACAGCAAGTCTGGCTGGCGTCCACTTCATCAGCACGCTCGTCTTTTAGTTGGCGATTTTCTCAATTTCATCCAGGTCGTGTGTGTCTAGTTTTTCAATTTTCTTATCTGGGGAGGTAAAAAAAAAAAAAAAAAAAGTTAGTGGGGCTTGTAATAAAAATGCATGGACCTGTGTGGATATTATCCGTGTTATTTTTGCACAGTCTTATTAGTATTGTGCACTGTGATGAACAAAGACGGTCAAAAACAAAAATAACTATAAAAATAAGTCAACTGCCCTTTATTAAAGCCTGGTTCACACGGCAAGATTTTAAAATTGTCAGCTGACTTCCAAACTCTGAGAGACCCCACGTGACGAGAAAGAAAAAAAATAAATCGCAGGTACAACTGTTTCGAACGTTCCGTACCGAAGATTATCTTTGGAGCCTTTATGAGAATTGAGCCTGACCTATGATTGTCAGCAGGGGCGATTCAGGGCTGAAATCGGGCCGATTATCCTCCATGTAAACCATCTTGACAACTGGATCAACAGGCGATACATGACAGAAAGAGTAATAAATACTTACTAAAATGATCCTGGATCCTGTTAAGGATGTTCATACTCATTCTGCTGTCCACCATGTTGATGGCCAACCCTCTTTTACCGAACCGACCCGTGCGGCCAATCCTGTGCAGGTATGTCTCATTGTCTGGGTTACCGTCCTGGTCTACTGGCAGGTCGAAATTGATCACCACTGATACCTGCTCCACATCAATTCCTGGTGTACGGCAAGCACAGACAGAAAACTACTTAAGATCCCATCTCAATTTTGTGACATATGTCCAACTTAAATCCAGATATTTTTGTTTTGCTTGTTCTTTTTTTTTTTTTTAACAGTACAGTGTGAAAGGAGGGTTCCAATATGTTCAATTTGTTTTGCATGTGTGCCTCACCTCTGGCACAGACATTTGTGGTGACAAGGACCTTCTCCTTTCCATCTCGAAAGCGTTCAATGACTGCGGCCCTCTGCTCCACTTGCATCTCCCCACTGAGTAGCGCCACCTGGTGGTTCTCTTTGGAAAGCTCCCCCGCCAGCCAGCCTGCGGTCTTCCTTGTCTGGATCGCACAGAGGAAAGCAGAGTCATCAATTCATATACCAGCCTGACACTTACGGAACAAGACATTTTTTCTTTATGTGGAAAAAGACACTATTTTGCTTAAACTGACTCCACTCTTAATAAGGTTCTTTAAACTCTGCCCAAACTTCATAATGTTTCCAAGGAAAAATATTACACCATTCATAATCTGTATCAATTGGAAAGTTCTTGAGGAAGGGGAGATTCTCACGTGGCAGAAAATCATAGCCTGGGCTATGGTGATGGCACCATAGATGTTGCACAGGGCTTCAAACTTTTCCTCCTTGCTGTTACACAGCACATAGTACTGTTTGATAGTATCCAGCGTCTCCTCCTCTCTTTTTAATTTGATGATATTTGGGTCGGGCACGATGCGCCTGGCAAAGTCCCACACAGTCTCCTCAAACGTGGCTGAGAACAGCAACATCTGGCAGTTTTTGGGCAGCATCCTGCGTGGCAAGGAAACAAATTGAGCATAAGCATCCTTTGAAAAGTAGAGTGAGAACTCAAAATCAAAATGGAGACATAATACAGTTTACACATACATCTTCAGGGTTTGGAACTTTAGAATTCAACTAACTGCACATTTTAAGGTGGGGACATATTCCCTATTATATGCTGAACTCATTCACTAATATTGCTTTGGCACCATCTTGGTGCTCACCAAGAAGAGGACCTTCATTTAGACAGAAAAAAATCTTTGCTGCCATCTTGAGCATCTCCAGGCAATGTCATGTCAATTATTCGCAACAATCCATCACCCTAGCAGGGGTTCACGATAGGCTTTTAAAAGGGGCACAATCAACCCATTACCAATGTTGTTAATTGAAGGCAACGGAGGAATAAACTTACTGATACTTCCATTGCAGAAAGGAAAAAAACAGCTTGTGGCTGTGCAGTAAGCAGGCTCAAGTGTGATATAAAAAGGTGATTGTTTTTTTTTTTCTTTTTCTCCTGTTCAAATGGTAAAACAAACTCATTGAAATTCTAAGATTTCACATGACACCACTTCATGATGCTGTAGGTCGAATGAGTTTTTTTAACCATTATTTCAGGAGAACAGGGAGCTTTATTTATTTTTTTAAACATTCACTTTCACCTCTGGATGCGGATACTTTGGTCTTTGTGACCCTGCGTTGCGATCATGACATCAGCCTCATCCAGCACGAACACCCGAATCTTCTCGGGGTCGATGAACTTCAACTTGCTGCACCAGTCCAGCATGGTGCCGGGCGTGCCAATGACGATCTGTTCCTGAAGCTTCACACCTCGTTGCACTGGAACGTTTTGAGGGAAACTTGTCAACACAAAACACGCCAGATATTCAAGATGGCACCCAATATGACATGTAGAGCGGGCAAAGACTCACGCCTATTTCCTCGTATGGCATAAACTAATTTGACTTCAGGGTAGTTTTTGCCCATCTGCTCAATCACTTTGCCGGTCTGAAGCGCCAGTTCATAGGTAGGTGACAAACACAAGCACTGATGGGAGAAGAAAGAAGAGAAGCAAGGGATTTAGACGGCTCATTCAGTGCTGGGACTAAACCCATCTAGAAGACTGCTGATATTAATTTTAAAAAAATAATAATAACCTGGGGATATTTGTTGTCAGGATTGACATGGCTGAGCATGGCGAGGACAAAGGCAGCGGTTTTTCCTGTTCCTGACTGAGACTGGGCAATCAGATTCTGTGGACTAAATGGGGAGGGGGATGGGTGGAAACAGACGGTGTAACACAACCTCAAGTTGCAAGTAGTTAGTTTGTGTCATCAGTGTATACTCTAAAGAACCATACATAGTACACATTTGCCCCCTAAAATTATACCAAATCGGTATTTATTCATCTCTCTCACGCTCTCACTCTCTCTTTCTCATATTAACGGGTGTTCATATGATACAAAACATGTTCATCATGTTTAGACGTGTCACTGTCTTCAAAACAGAAGCGGTGCAAGTGAAGGAGGGAGCTTGACCAAGAGAGTGAAAAAGATGGCAACTTTCAACCATCATGTTTTATTGTGTATCGCATGATTGTTATGGAAGCATTAAAAACCCCTATTTCCACAAATGTAACCAGATGATAACAGCAAATCAGGGTATTGTAGACACGGGTTCAGGGGAA